ATGGTTTTAAAGGTAATTAGCTTTTTAAATCTGGCCTTTTCTTGAGAGAGACAGAAACAGAGACAGAGACAGAGACAGAGAGACAAGGCATGAGCAGGGAAGGGGCAGAGAGAGAGGGGGACAGAGAATTCCAAGCAGGCTCTGCACTATCAGGGCGCAGAGCTCAATTCAGGGCTCAGACTCACGAAACTGTGAGATCATGACCTGAGCCGAAATCAAGAAAGTGATTGAGCCACCCAGGTGCCCCATAAATCTGGTTACTTTTAAAATCTTGTGTCTAGATGTGGTTCTATTTCTCTTTTCCTGTTTGGGATTTATTGGGCTTCTTGAATTTGTGTTGTCTTTTATCAGTTCTGGAAAGTTGTTTGTGACTCTCTCTTAAAATCTCGCCATTCCCTCATTCTATTAGACTTTCGCATCTATTTTCCACGTCTTCTGTCTTTCACTAGTTTTTTTTTTTTTTTTTTAATTTTTTGTTTCTTTGTGCCTCTGTGTTGCATTCTGGATGCTTTCTTTACTAATTCTCCCTCTAGCTATTTCTAACTTGCTACTATATCCATCTCTTGAACGTTTAAAAACTTTTACAAATGTGAAATTTGGCAGATGTATGTAAAGGCACAGGAAACATCAACAGACATTTCGGGAAATAATGATGATGTGAACTGACGTGTAACTACTACTCAGGTTAAGCACCTTGGCCTCCACCTGTCTCTCCCAATCACGACCCCCTGCTCCCACTTTAGTGGGAGCCACTATCCTGACACTTAGGCTACCAATGCCCATGCTTTTCTTTATAGCTTTATTGTCTGTTGTCCCTAAACAACGTCATTTTGTTTTGCTTGCTTTTCAACTTTATATGCCGAAACCACATACAGTATGGATTTTTCCGTATTTAGCTTCTTTTGTTCAACATTATGCTTGTTCATTCATATTTTCTTTTTTTTTAATTTTTTTAATGTTTATTATTTTTTGAGAGAGAGAGAGACAGGCAGAGAGCAAGCAGGGGAGGGGCAGAGAGAGAGGGAGACACAGAATCAGAAGCAGGCTCCAGGCTCTGAGCTGCCAGCACAGAGCCCGAGGCGGGGCTTGAACTCACAGACTGCGAGACCACGAGCTGAGCCGAAGTCGGCCGCTTAACCAACTGAGCTACCCAGCGCCCCCGTTCATTCATATTTTCAAGGCTGTAGTTCACTTTCATTGCTGTATAGTAGTATGTTGTTGAATATTTTGCAGTTCGCTTACACATTTTACAGCCGATGGGCAGAGGGTTATTTCTAGCAGTTGGCTATTGGGAACATTCGTGTACCTGTTTCCCAAGGCCATACCAGTGAATGCAATTGCTGGGCCATTTGATATACATGTCTTCAGCTTTACAGTTTAGCACTGCTTTTCCAAAGCGCCCGTACCAGTTTCTGTCCTGCGGCTCCACTTTCACCGAGGAGCCCGCTTCAGATCCTCTGTCTCCCTCTCTCTCTGCTCCCTCCCCCACTCACTCTCTCTCTCAAAAATAAATAAACATTTAAAAAAGCTTTTTAAAAAGTAGAAGCAGAACAGAGGCTTTACCTGTTCTTTTGTAAGAGTTTTTTTAAAGTTAAATTGTATTTTTTATACAATTTTTTTTAATTAAAAAAATTTTTAATGTTTATTTAATTTAAAAAAATTTTTTTTAACGTTTATTTATTTTTGAGACAGAGAGAGACAGAGCATGAACGGGGGAGGGTCAGAGAGAGGGAGACACAGAATTTGAAACAGGCTCCAGGCTCTGAGCTGTCAGCACAGAGCCTGACGCGGGGCTCGAACTCACGGACCGCGAGATCATGACCTGAGCCGAAGTTGGCCGCTTAACCAGCTGAGCCACCCAAGTGCCTCATAATGTTTATTTAATTTTGAGAGACAGAGAGAGAGAGACAGTGCAAGCAGGGAAGGTGCACAGAGAGGGGAAGACACAGAAGCTGAAGCAGGCTCTGGGCTCTGCGATAGCAGGACAGAGCCAAGTGCGGGGCTTGAACTCACAAACTGCGAGATCATGACCCGAGCCAGAGTCAGATGCTCAACCAACTGAGCCACCAAGCTGCCCCTAAATTAAAAAAAATATTTATTTTTCAGAGAAAGGGAGAAAGGGCACGAGTGGGGGAGGGACAGAGAGACACGGGGACAGAGGATCTGAAATGTGCTCCACGATGACAGCAGAGAGCCCAATGCAGGGCTCAAACTCACAAGTGAGATCATGACCTGAGCCAAAGTTGGACGCTTACCCAACTGAGCCACCCAGGCACCCCAAGATTTGATTTTGAAGTAATCTCTATGCCCAACGTGGGGCTCAAAGGCATAACCCCGAGATCAAGAGTCACACCCTCCGCTGACTGAGCCACCCAGGCACCCCTCCACCTGTCGTGACCTCACCTGCCTCTCCTAGCTCATCACCATGCACTCTGCCCTGGTCCTCTGTCTCCCAGCTATGCTGCTATGGCCATCTTTGTTTGAAAGATGAGAAAACTGACTCTCTGAGTGGTTTATTAACTTGCCCACATGGGAGGTGCGTTCATTTGCATTACAGTAGTTTTTTTCACCCCTGACTGTCAGCTCCCTATGAGCAAGGAATGTGTCTGGCTTCTGTACCACATGGTAGGTGCTCAGGAAGTGTGTGTTGAATGAATGATCGAATGAAGGAATGAACTCATCGGGATGCAGATCCCCTTGCCTCCCTCTTCGATCTGCTGGCGGTAGCAATGTAATAAAACCTATGGGTTGATGGGAATGAGCTCATTACGTACTCTGTAAGTTGAGATCTATACCAATACAGTTGGTATTTGTGGGGAGAGAAGAAGTCCAAGGACAGGACAGGTGTGGAGGGGGGGATTCCAGCCACCTGAGGGTTCTAGCGAGGTCCATTCATACAGCAAAAAGTCAGGTGCTCAGTCAGAGGAGTGTGCGGCTCTTGATCTCAGAGTTGCGTTTAAGCCCCACATTTGGTGTAGAGAGGACTTTAAAAACAACAACTGGGTGCTGAAAAGAAAGGGAGAGGGGCCCGGAAGTTGAACTTGACCTCTCCAGTCTGTGTTGGGCCCGTCTTGAGTGCACAAGTGTTGCATATGTAAGTACCTGTGCCTGCAGCTGAGTATTATTACAGAGTGAGACGACGGTAGGTCCACTTGTACCGTTTGCAGCTCACAGAAGTACCTGTTAACCATTCCTTGTTTCCGACGCAGGCAGAATATACCAAGAGCCCAAGTACGGCCATTCTCTCCGACGTTTCCTCGTGCGGGTCCCTTTCATCCAGTGAGGACGGCACCCCCCCAGGGGCCATTCCAGTCTGTCAGATGGGGAGCTGGCCCGGAACTTACAGGATAGTGTCAAGCACCGCGTCCTTTACCTCTCAGAGCAGCGGAGACTGGAGAAGGCCAGTCGGGAAGAGAACACCGTGGGCTACCTCAAGCTGGTGTCCAAAGCCGACCGGCACCACGCCCCCCACATCTGGCAGGACTTCGAGAAGGTGAACCAGTGCGCCTCTGCCACCATTGCCCAGATCCAGCGAAGGCTCTGCCGTTGCCACTGGCAGCTGCAGGGGCTGGAGGGGGGCTGGAGGCCCCAGGGCTTAGCGCCCAAGGCCGCAAGCAGCCCGTGCCACTGCATGCGGCCCAGCGAGAAGGCCCCATCTTCAGAGTCTCCCAGGCCAGGTGGGGAAGACTGCCTGTCCACCGACCTGTCTGATATCGTCAGACACTTGCCCCTGGCGAGCCACTTCCCAGCTTTGTGGCCGGGGAAGTCCTGGGGAACAAAGCGTGTGGCCCAGCAGCGAAACCTGCTGTTGCGACAGATGGAGGACCTAAGAGAAGTCAGGGAGCTCCACCTCAGCCTCCAGGTGTCCTATCCGAGCCTAAAGGAGAGCCGTCTGATGGGCCTGCAGGTGTCGCTGTCGTCCCTCCAGGAACAGAAATGCAGGTGAGGTGGCCCCTCCGCTGCAGCCTGGGCTGTGGGGTTGGGGCCCCCCCCCCCCCCCCCCCCCCCCCCCCCCCCCC